TTGAAAGCTAACTATCGGAACAGTGGTTTAGTAACCTCTGCTCAACTAATTATTTGACAGATGGACAGGCGAGATTTGGCGACAAAAACAGGCCTTTGAACTTTGGATTAGATAAAAGAGGATTAAATTGAAAACAAAAACATTTTACAGATATCATGACAGCAAAAACCAATTTGCTTTTGCAAGGCAGACGAAAATAACTTGAAATAGAAATCACTGTTCGGCTCCTTTCCTTGACGTCCTTGACATTTGATGCAATGTTCTTGGCGCCTAACTGTCTTGTTGTATAGAAATAGAGAAATCAAGAGAAAGGGAAAGCCGTAAAAGTTTTGACGCAACATGAGACTTGGAGGAGTCGCGCGTGGATCACACGCATATTTAGCCATGCGAGAGCGCGTTCACACGCGGTCTACGCCCGGAACACGAAATAAATAAAGATAGTTCAAAGGATGCCCCTGGTCCAACATACATGTAATATAACAGGCGAATAATAATAGAGGTCCCGAACAGTCATTGCTTTGATCAAATTCTAAAATAAACTGTGCATTTCATAGACAGGTAACATTTAAAAGCAGCTGGCTCATAGACACGCGAAGCATTTTAACTTTGCCCTCGTTAATTAACGAACGTGTTAACAATATTATTAACATTTCTCTTAATAATATTTCCACCGCAAATGCATGACCCTAAGTAAGCATATTGTAATTTAGAGGACCGTTTAATTAAAACATAACTTTCTAGACTTAAAGGTCCCTCACATAATTGTCGATCGAGCTTTTGTAATAGAAACCAAAACATTTTTACTGTTATTGCTTGGGTAACTTCACCTTCCTTAGAATTGAATCTATGAGACGGAAACAACTCAACGGGATCAGTTCAAAGCGTCGTTGTCTCCGAATATTTCCCATTTCGTGAAGAGCATTTTTGAAATATTTTACTCCCTTTCAAGAAATTTCTCTTCATAAAGTTTAAAGATCTTAATAGTTTCTCTTTAGTTTCACTGAAATGAGTAATGAGAGCTCATTTAGATCCAGGTGGTTCGGTTTCTATACCCCGTATACTCAGCCAACACAACCGTCAGATTGCCCACATAGCAAGAGACGATTTGACAATTTTTCGCGCTCAATGAGGCTATGGTGACCGTTTGGCCTCATCATTTTACAAGGATATAATAGTAAGGCGATCGAGGTAAGCGGGTCATTTTTGAGAACTGAACTGAAGAGTGATGCCTTGAAAGCTTTTAGCGAGCTTTCAATGTTAATCCCGTGCCGTGTATATTTTTTGACAAAGTCTGTCACAAAAAAGCGTAAAAGCGCATGTGACAACACCCGTTGGTATCATGGGTAGTGACGGTCTGGCGTTGTTCACCATGTTTCGCAAGAGGGAAGGGAAACCATGAATACACGTGTTTTGCTGTTTGCGTCTACCACGCTGCAACACCTTTAGCTTCAGTCAAGCAATCGCAAACCACCGTTATCCTCAAAAACCTTTCGACATTGTGGAGTACGCTTCATACGCTTTTGTTGGACAACCTTTCTCAAAACAGCGCTATGTTACTGCTGAGAAGTTAGGTATACATCAAGGCAATATACCAGTCAATGCATAATATTGTTTCAGTTGCTTTCTCTTAATCTGACTCAGTGCTTGGCCATTTATTAGCATCGTTAATTAGAGCAAAGTTGTTCAGTCTTTCAAAAAAGTAGAATAAAGGGTGAAACATACGAAACGTCAAGTAAAAAGATACAATTTTCTATTCAACCATGCCTTTTTTCCCACGTTTATCACCACAGTTTGCGTGTTATTTCTTTTTAAGCGATGATGGTCAAAGAAAAAGAATATTTACGAATAGCATTTCTGATTGATTCTGTCAAGAAGAGCGGTAATTTAAGGCTAGTTTGGTATTCACATCCTTAAACGGATTTTGTCTGGCCAAAATTGTAGGACGATGACAGATATTATTGCAGAAATACTTCAAATTCGCCCAAAAAAAGAACGCCGGATCGTAGGTTAAATTTACATAAGTACAGGAATTCGGGAAAGCTGAACATTAAACATTTTATGGGAAATTGCAGGGTGCCACAGGTTCCTTTTTTGGGAATGTTTGTGGTGATTCTCAAGATTCTTCGGACGACCTTCATCAGCTCTCTGTATTGCAAAACACAAGGTTTTTGTTAAAGCTGTCACCCCTCGTCGGAACAGTCCCCCTCCCCGCTCCCCCGAAAAAAATTAAGTGTTCTGTTCGTCTTTAAATGTACACCTAGGCTTTACGGTTTAAGCAGCACAGCGCAACTATTCTCCCTCCGAGCTCTGTTATCTCCCGGCGCGGTCGGTCTTAATCGCTCTCTTTTTTTCTTTGTCCAGTCTTAACATCACCGCCTTGGAAGATAGTAAGACCAGTAGACTATGTTGAACAGTCCAAAAAGAAGCGGGAAGATCTTCCGCGCGTATTGATCAATATAATGGGGAGGAAATTGTCTCGTAGGGAGTCCATCCAGGTAGGCAGCGTTGACGAAAGGACTCTTTCTTCTCGACGCCGAGAGATTCTCGTGAAGGAAAGCCCCTTTCCTAAGAGACAGGCCTCCCGCCACGCCATTTGGCCGCAGGTCTTTGCTACAGTTATACGTTTGGTCCATCATCTCAGCAATGGAGTTTCCTGGTTGATTTGGTGTTTGAGGCTGAGAAGCAAGTGGAAGAAAGTTGAATATATTGAAGGATCCAGTAAAGAGGATATCTTTGCTATTGCAGGAAAACCGAAATCAAAGTTATTTCATCTAACCAGTCACAACATAGAGAAATAATGTCACGAACACTGAATCGAAACTCAGAAACAGATACATGCAATCAGTCCTTCGCGCAGGATTACGCATGTTAGCCAAATTCAAGATTGACTGGTTCCAGTCAGTTTAGACGATATGACTGAATAAAATCCTCGACAAAGGATAGAACCCTTAGTAGGACCCCTCTCTAAATTACACCTGGCGATGTTTACAAATTAACGTTCTCGTGACATAAGGCCGGGCATGGGTCGCGGTGGCCTAACGGTCAGCGCGGAATTTTTATAGGAACGGACTGAGTTCTAGCCCTTATTAGCTACCATGTAGAGACATTGCGTTGTGTTCTGGCACAAAACATCACTTTTGCAGTGTCCCTCAACCCGGGTAAATAAATGCGAACCGGGGAATTTAACGTCTAATCGGGGATAATCCTGCGATGCATCCCATCTAGGGGGAGGCAGAAATACTCTTAGTCGCGTAATGCTGCTAACTGGAACACCTGCCGACACTAGCTTGGCGCGATGCAGATTTTGCTCTACATTTTTAACACTGATGAAGATATGCTAAGAATGAAAAAGACTCACCGGCGCAAGACTTTGACTCCTTAGTAATGTAGACGCCTTATCCGGGAAATTCAATACGCACACGTACTCCACCATACAAGAAACGATAAACACGAATGACGTAATCAAGTAATAATCCACTGCCTTCAGATAGGAAATCCGCGGGAGACTGGAGTTGATTGATTCGAATAGAAACATGGTGCTCAGAATGCACGTGATCACGAGTGAAATTCGTGCGGGAACAGCATGACGATCAACCCAGAAGCTAAGCCACGAGAGGAAAACAAGAAACGCAGAAGGAATAAAATGTTGGAAGATAAAATACGTCGTTCGTCGCTTGAGGGTGAAGGTCGCCTTTAAACTATCAAAAGAACCTTGAGAGAAAAAAATCAACAAAACGTATTCAGAAAAATGGAGAAGAGATTCAATTTGTTTTCCAGAGTAATGCAGTCTGCAGTGCAAGTTAGACTTCATGACTGGACTAAGCTCACATTCAGCTCGGCCCCAAAGGCTATCTTTGTCAGGCTGGACGCATATTTCATGAGTTGAAGTATAGAAAACGGAAAGGAGAACTTTCAAGGTTTAGATAATTAATAGACTCTTTCAAATATCTCGAACAGACGCACCTAGTATTTCAAGGGGTTAGTCTATCCAAAGGTACAGACAATGAATTCAGTGCTGGGACGTTAAGGAGGTGCCATTTTCTATGGAAGGTATGTAATAATAATAATAATAATAATAATAATAATAATAATAATAATAACGATAACGATAACGATAATGATAATGATAATAATAATAATCAACTTTATTTATTGAGGGTAGCACACAACAGTAATAACTGAAAACCCAACGGCCCTCATATAAATATTCACAGGGTAAAAAAGATGACGTGTTAAAAATTAGAAATATAGAAACTGATTCTCAAATATGCAACGATTATATATTAAAAAAACTGAGATATGAGATACACTAAAATATTAAAAAGCGAAGCATTAGATTAAGTCTAACAATTAAACCAAGAAAGTTGAAAAATTTGAAAGGGTTGCTTTCATTGTCAAAAAGGTAAAAAAAAAAAATGATCGTCCAGCGCTCTGATCAGGCTTGCTTCAATATTACCATGACGACTTACCTTTACTATTAGTGTTAGCTTTCTTGGATGTTACAATATCCACCATATCAAACTGTGCCAGCTCGGAAGCAAACACTTCGATTGCACTTTTGCCTCGATTTTTCCAGTTATAGATAACGTCATCCACTGTATATGCATCTGCGATCAAGAAATGCCATAATTTTGGATATCAATACTGAGCTTATCATTTGTTGGGGCACGGAGTTATCTTGATAGAATTAATTCACCAGCTAAAATAGGGCGGATGGTGATTCCCAGTAACAGTTTGTTTTGTTCTCAACATCACCCACGTTGTCCAAAAGGTCCCCAAAAAAGGTGTATGACATTTGCAGACTGCAGACTACAGTTAGCCCTAAATAGCTCTGGGTAGCCTGAATATCACTCAGGTTAGCCTAACTGGCGGTTTTACTGTTAGCTATCGGTAATGGAAATGGGAATGCGATATTAGTTAACATATCTGCAGTCTACAGTCAGCTAATGTCAGACGGCGCCTCAAAGAGAATTAAAAGTTGAAGAAACGTAAATGAAAGCGCTACAGACGTTTCTGACGTTCCGACGGTTTCAACCGGGAAATGTATCTGGAGCTGCTCTAAACTTTCGAAGATAATTTTTTCGGAAATTGTCTGACTCATCCAGTCAAAATCTGCGAATGAAATGCTCATCGGTTTCACGATTGAAATGAACGCTGGCAACTCGTCGATGTTATTCAGAGTACCGTCTTAAAGAGAACGTTGAACTTTGGAAAAGAAAGAACAGCTTCATTTGATCTTGCAGTTGGACTTTCCCTTATGGTGGCTTAATGGTTGGCGCGTTGAATTCCATTTTAATTCATTGCAGTAATGGCCCCATCTAAAGAGTAAAGGGTATACTTACAGCTTTCTATTATAAGATCACAGTTTTGGGTGTCTAAAGGAAACAACCTCAGATCCATATCACACTGTGCCGTTAGAGTAATTCTAAAACAGAGAGAAAATATTCCTATAAACATAATTGTACAATATACAGACAACAACGACTCTGAACTATCAAACTTTTCGGGAAGAATTCTGTGGAAAACTAGTCAGAATTATCTTGAAAACATTGCTTATCTTTTCTAATTTGTCATTCGCATGTAATCTTGATGGGTCTCAGTTGTAGCCGTCCTTGCTCAGAATCGGTAGTTCTTTGGTGAATTCCTATCTCGGAATTAAACTATCTTAGAAAACTATTTTGAGACATCCTCAAATTAAAATGCCAGGACATACCGGCAGCTACTTTAATTAAGGTCGGAATCAAATCATTACAATATGTACAGCTTTGAGTGCCAAAAAAAGCAGCATTAATTGCTGTGGATTTGCATTTGTGGAGGTCGAGCTGTTATTGGATCAAAATGCTTAGCCTGCAGAACAGGCGGATTAGCGGGGCACAGAGCGAAACGCTAGAGCGAAACCGTCTCGCTCACTTCTCCGCTAATCCGCCTGTTCTGCAGGCTAAAATGCTCGGCGCATGACCTGCTGTAACCAACGAGAACAAAGACACTGACTCGGCCAATCAGGTGCAGCCAATCCTTTGGTTCTGCATTTTCCGCCCTTGCCATCGGTTGCAAGGTGAAACTGTGAGTTTTGATTAGCTCAATCCTTTCATTTTGCGTGCACTGTGACTGGCCAGAAGTGGTTACCTAAGTGGAATTCACGAAAAACCGCTCTCGGTATTAGATAGTAAAAATTTAAGTTTACCTGGCACTAAAGTAGATATCTCCTTCTTTAGATATTCTAAGTCGCATGTTTTCACGACTGATCGCATGGTAATTGGAAGACTTTACGTTCCTGAAATACGTGTCAGGAGTCCAGATTCCAGGTCCTAGTTTTCTTGGATCTAGGGCAGCGTTAAACACTTTGTCTTCTCCGTGAGCGAGCCGCGGATCCCTCCACCACTGCCTAAAGAATATGTCGATTGTGTAATCCTTAAAAAAATATATGTCCGGATTAATCCCAACGTTACTCGACACAAGTTGGACGTTTCCAATTACAAATCACAAAGACTGATTCCTCTAATAAGAAGCTCTATGAACAAAACAGATACACCCCGCTTCTTTTATTTGCCCTCCTTACAACCTGACAATTACTGTATCACAGCCCTGACATGGGCCCCCGAGGGAAAGAGAAAGAGAGGTCGGCCAAAAACAACTTGGACACGTACAGTGGAAAGGAAGAAGTCCGCAGAGCAGGGGTGGCAGTCCTGGAACGAGGTGCGTACAGCAGCGCAAGACAAGAGTCGATGGAGAGCGAATGTGGAGGCCTTATGCGCCACTCTTACTCGAGGAGTTAGGTAACAGGTACAGGAGAAGCAGAGCGAGAAGAGAAAAATCAGTTGCCGTTCAAACATGGATGGCGTCGATTTTAGCATGAAAAGCCCTTAACAGAAACCAATTTGAGCGTGGCATGTATTGACCTGGTGACGTCTAACTTGTCATGACTGACATGTTAGATACCGGCAAACAAATATTAGCCATCTTATTTTAAGTCAGCTAATTAGCTTGTGACCCTTTAAGACGGAATCCACCAGAAGTTCAAGTAATGAGTGGACAAAAACCTAGTACCAAGATTATTTACATCGTATTGCAAACTTCTGTACGACTGTTTCAAATATCTTCGCAAAAAGAATCGTTCCTAGCAACACCAAACGTCGAAAACGAACGTTGAACTTCGTATGAAACACTTGAAAGTACTGGTGAAATGAAACTGGTGAAATGAAACTGATGATGAAATTTTGCTTGTGTTTGCACAAGTTCTCTAAACTTTGAAATTCATTTTCTCTCGTTCCCATGGGAAACTGTTTTCGGTGTTATTTCAAGCAATTATTTATGTATTTACCTTAATGAAAATGTAAAAACGACTGTAAAATACTTAAAATTATTCTGGAACCAGAGTTTTGTCCACTAAAACCTGAAATTGCTCGATTTTCTATCGGATTTCGTCCTAATTTCTAGGAGTGGTCAAAATCTAATTTCTCGTTACAATATCAATACATTATCCACAAAACAGGCGATGAGAACAAGGAATATCATGAAGTAAGGCAAACGGTCTTGATTTACTATTCTGATTGGCTGAGAGCAGTGCAGTTCAAGTGTAACACCAGTGTGTAACATCGGTGCAAATTACACATATGATTGGCCGAAAGACAATAGCAAATTTTCTAAGCCAATGATATCACGTAAAATGATGACGTAAGTTTTGTGCCGAAACTTTGAAAAACGTTTCCTCGAATGAGAAAAAATGGCTTCAAGAAAGATCTTCCGGAGCGGCTCGTGCAATTTCAGCTTTTTGAAAAACTCACAAGTGCAAATTAATTCCAAATTGAACTCGAAACCGTATGGTTACCTATACAAATTGTCAGGACTGACATTAAAACGAAATGGCTGTCCGTAAAAATAATTTTTAAACGATTAAGATGTGTGAAGAAGAGGTAGAAGTTTCAAAGCACTCTCGTCTTTGTATCAAGCTAAGTAATCGAGCGCGCGTATTTCTACTGCATAGATTAAGACCAAAACTAAGCCTCAGCACTCGCGAGAAAGCCTGTCTCCACAACACTTCCGCCACTCGATGGGCCAAGCTATGACACAGTACATCTCTGGGTGTTCATCATTGCAGATCTAGGTCTTTCTTTGAAAGTGGCGCGGGTACTAAGGTGAACGCCTGCTACAACTTTGGGTCTAACAACCCTTCACTGAAGCTGCCATATCACTCTTATTATCTCTATTAAACTACTTTCCAAAAACACCACTAACTTACCATATCTTCTTCTCTAATTTTTCCGAAGGCCATAAGTTTAAATTCGATAAGAACTTCTACAGGCGGTCCTAGAAAAAGAAGCACCAACCACTCATCAAATGAGATTGTCCACGTCAAATTAGCTTAACAACTCGAACCAATCTCGCTTTTTTCTATAACCCAGTTTGATAACCTAGTGTGTGCCCGTGTTACGACAAACTGATTTACTGGATGGTCTAAAGTATTCCGCCCTTATCTTTTCTCTTGTTTTCTTCCAGATTTCGGTAAAGGAATAGGAAGAGAGAGTGCAAAAGTGCACAAAAAAGCAGATTGGATGAAGGGACAAAAAAAGCACGTCGCACGTACACATGTTCCTACCTGTATCGTTTGGACGAACATTCTTGTCGTAGCGCTTCAGTCTGCGGTTGATAAGTTTAGATACTTTGGCGTACGACGCGTCGGGTAACTTAACTACAATTCAGAGATAACGTTCTCGTTACATACATTTCGAATTTCTCACACGTAACAAAACACACATGTAGGCCTAATCAGTAGCATCAATTCCTAATCTGGTCTAAATTTTTCATATCATCAATTAGATTTCCGGTAAATAATGTCGCATTGTAGACCAAGACTCGCTGATTTCTACGTCCTATCCTGGACTTGAAAACTGTGCCTGTTATATCGATTACATATTTCCATAGTCTACACTCTTTTAGTATAAATCTACTAGTGTTCTATTATGAATACCGTTCTCTGATTGGCTACGCTATTCACTATCTCCTCTGTTGTAGATAGTGAGTAACCTAGCAGTGTGTGCATGTTAGCCAACTGGTGGCCGCTTCTTTGCGTTCTTGAATTGTCTGTGAAGAGGATTTAAATAAAGTTTTGAACCACTGATAGATTATTGGCTCTAATTAGATAATTCGCTCTCGATTTCTTCTGATAGTTGACTAGGGTGCACTTTCACGCTATAGAAATCTCGAGCTCATCCTCAAATTGTTGAATAGGACATAAAATGTCATGAAATGTTAAAAATACAGCAAGTGAAACCAAGAGCCGCTTCTCACCTAAGGGCTCTTCAAAACACACCAGGTTCCAGTAACACCCGTAAAAATAAACAGCGATACATGATATATATTTTTCCTTGTAGTAGTCGTGTTTGGTTTTGTTACGGTTGTTTTCAGGAAGGCTAGAAATACATCAGAACAGCTCAAACAGATGTTCCCGATTACTTCGATAAAAAAAAAAAACAAATAAGTCACGAATGTTAATTAATTTTAGCTGGAGGGCTGACATACAGCTACATACCTTTTGTTTGACGGCTATCAGAAGAACGATTTGAACTTCTGGGTCCTCTGCTTCCTCCAGTTCCTGGGGCACTCCTATTAAGACAGTCATTACGGTTAGTTGAGTACAATTGAGTTTTTAGTTTGGCGGCTGTTGTCTGTTTGTTTGTTTGTTTGTTTGTTGTTGTTGTTATTTCAAGTAGAGTCTTTGATTTGCCTTCAGTCGCGATAATACATACTACTCTGTCTTAATCCATTCAGCAACTATATATCATATAGATCTTTGAAAGGTTTCTAAGCTCTGACAGAGGCAACGCTCAAACGGCTGTTACTTAACAGATAAAAGAATGATTCGTATGCTTTGTTTGTTGTTTGTTTTTAAGTCCCCATTGAAAGGTGAAAATAGAGATGAATGTATGCATTTCTCCTTTGCCTTTTCCCTTTACTTAAGAAATGTATAAAACTTCAGTTTCCACGTATTCCTAACGCTTATCTCATCGAGCCTATAAATCAAATAGAATCTACTAGTTAGGAGCTTTCATATTTATGATAATTATATTTACTGTATTCCCTGTTTTTTTGGTTTTGTTTGTAAAATACATAACGTGTTCCAAATTAAACATTACTTAGAGTGCACCCCTTGGCGATTCAAGGAGTTCTCGTGCTTTGTCTTAGACTCCTTGCTACCTTCTTAAATTTGTCTTTTTATATTTATTTTAAGCTTGTATTTTCATCATTTTTGTGACGAATAAATGAATAGATAAGACTTATAAATATGTTTATATCTACCTCAATGTAACTAGGCTACATTACTATCACATACATATGCGTTTACAAACAGATAAACAACAGGATAGACAAGAATGGCCAACAAAATAGATAAAAAAAAACAGGATAGAGAAGAATGGCCAACAAAATAGATAAACAACAGGATAAACAAGAATGGCCAACAAAATAGATAAACGACAGGATAGACGAGAATGGCCAACAAAATAGAAAAACAACAGGATAGACAAGAATGGCCAAGGGAATTCAAAGTTTGTCAACCACTAATGTCTAATCCGTCTAATCCTGTGTTAGCGCTAACCGAATTTTGAAAAACGCACTACCTGGCTTGTCGAGGCTTCCAAAAACCTGTACACTTTTGTGGGAAAAGGTAAAATAAAATGTGTTTAATTTTGTCAAATCCTTTCACGTTTCCCTTCTTCTTGTTGAAGATAATATTTCACAGCTATTTTTACCACAGGCCATAGCAACGAGTTTTGCAGTGGAAAGAAAACATTTCACCGGGATATTATAAGTCCCACAAAAGCTGGGTTTATTATAAATAAAAATATCGGATTATGTTACCCGCCGTTTGCCTTAATCCAAAATAATAAAAATTTAAAAAATTTAGTCAGGAATCATTTTCATACTACAGGTTGAAGCATATTTTGTTGTTATTACTGTTCTTATATTTACAAAAAGCTTGTTATTATTGTCCTTGTTATCGAGAAAGAACTTTACAGAACTCTGCGTGTGACTTGATTGTTTCATTAAGGGACGGTTCTTCGCCCATAAGAAACCCTGCTCCTATGACACGAAATAAATATTTAACTTGTGACAAATATATAATCCGGCGGTTATATACTGCGGTTATTTGGGTGACCATCATACAAATACGATGAAATACGGCATTTATTGCCTGCCAAATTAACGTTATGACTTGAGGGTTAACTGTTTTGGATATCGAGTAAGGCTTGCATTAAGGCATTGCTTCGTATTCTAAATTTTGGTACATTACTATTTTAACGGTAAAAAAAAAACCGAAAGCACCTATTACAAGAATGTTATCTATTTTGTCGGTGATAGTATTCTGGATTGATGTTTTCAAAAAGGTTTCTGTTGTCTGGCAGCAAGAAAATAACTTGTCTGGTTCGAGAATGCTCAAAGTCTAAATAATATGAAGAAAATATTACTTAGCAATAGGATTCCAGTTAAAACTTCCTTTATGCTGACCAATCAGAAAGTAACGTGTTGAGTTATAAATTGTCTATAGGCAACTTGCTTGAAATTATCAGTTAAATATTTACTTTTACCCTTGTATTTCCTCATAATGTTTTTCATTAGTTGATTTCAATTTATGTAATGACGAGTAATTAAGTTGCCTGTCTCACGCTTATGTCTTCAGAAAGAATAACAAGTGGTTAAAAGGGATTTTTCAGCTACACAATTTTCCTTGACTGGTGTTTATCAGTAAAATTTAAAAAAAGAATGTTTAAGGAAATGCTTTACAAGATTCCGCTCTGCCTTAAAAGTTGTAAAATGGAGCTTGACAGCTAATTATCGACGTAAAACACATTTACTTCGTCGCGGTGATGTTTTTTTCTTTTCTTTTCTTTTTTTTAAGCTTGTTTCTTAAGTACGCTGGTAACGTTCATGGTAAGCCACACATTTGTGGCAAGACGTCACATTACATTTCCATCAAATTTTACTTCTAGTATGGGTCGAAAACTAAAAACCTTTTTATACCGAAACTTGTTTTATCGGGTTGTGATTTCAACGAATATCGCCACGCAATTCTATCTATCTTAAGAATTGCGGACGCAAATCTTCCTACGTAGAGCAAAACATTGGCAGCGACACTGAATTTTAACGATTCAGCACAAGTTTTGTAGTGCTATAGTTATCAGTACAAATCTCTCAGTTGAGGGGTTGGTATTATGACGAGAACAAAGTACGATTACTTTTGTAACAAAAAACGGGTATGTCGTCATACATTTATTTAATTTTCTAAACATTCCTTTCTGCGCGAATTTGGCCAAAAAAAGTAAGGCGCATTTTTCTTTTAAAAAAAGGATGCACGTCAGTGGTCTTCAGTCTCGACTGAGTGCTTTGTATGCCCACTTTAATAAGTTCAGATTCAAACTGCAAGTAAATAGGGAGATTGTTTTGCAAACCGCTTGCATCTTTCTGGTCAGCTGGGTGAGTCATGCTGTTTTCGGTAAAACTAGAAAACAAGGTCGAGAATCGTGGCTTGTATTTATCAGCACAAACAATAAGCACCGCTACAATACGAGGAAAAAACGTAAGACCATTATCAGTCATTTTCGAAAACTTAAAGGATTTTATCTAATATCCTTAAGACAGTTATTTAGTGTAAATGTAATGTTTTTCTTACCTTGTTAGCAGTCCGTGGAAGAATGTTGCAATTAGAAGCGACATAAAGACTGTTTCCTTCTTCATTGTAAAAGAAAATCCCAAATTATTTTGGCTCAGCCTATCTAGAGACAAACATGATAGTATTAGTGCAAATATTACAGAGGTTTAGGTGTAATAGAGCGACTACAAACCCGAAGAAAGCTCCTATTTGCCGAGATTCTTCGACACGACTCCCTTCTTCCTTAGTCTTTCAACGGCTATTAACATCAATAAGAATCATTTTTGTAGTGAGCCTCCTATTGGTCGGACAAATTAAACATTATTTTTGTGCTTATTGGTTTGCAGGTGTAAATTGCCTCAAGCGCATCGAATTAAAGAGTAGTTGTACTGTAACACCCTCAATAATGGGTTTATTGAAATAACATTTCTAGGAACAAAACAGCAAAACAACTGTGCAATGAACGACTCGACACCGTCAAAAGTTGAGAGTATGAAAAAGTAGGTTAATATCGATGTACTTCACAAAAAAAATGTTCTGTATTTTTTTTTTCAGTCAAAACGTTCAAGATATTACCACTGTTAATAATTTAGTAGTTATGAAGCGTTCGGCATTGACAATAGTCAAAGCTTTTTATTCGCACACAAGTACATTTTGATGGAAGGAAAAATCTTTAAGTGTCTGCGTTCTCGACCTGTGATACTCTAACGAACTCGTTTCGGTTAATAGTAAGTATTAAACCATATTCTCCTTGAAATAACCGTGAAACTGATTAAACAAAAAAATGTAGTTTACTTATTGTAAATATAAACATAGCTCTTGAACAAATCCGGTGATTTATTTCTTGTTAAGATAAGAGTTATCATTTTTTTTTTTTTTTTGACAAACGTTATAAACCGAAAAAAGATACTTTCCCCATTATCGAGTTTATAACGTTCGAAGATGAAGATTCGCAAGACCTTGTATAAGATAAATTTTAAATAATTTTTTTGCAGTATCTTCAGCGTTAGATTGGTGGCCTTGTCGGCGTAATCTGCTAGAAGTTTCGACGTCCTAGTGAAGATTCCCTTCATAACTGCGCAGATCTGATTATATAACCTTTGGTTTTTGTTTCTTATGCTGCCAAAATTGTTAAGTTAATGTCATAAACGGGCGGCATACGGCGAGCTCTAGGACACAAAGTAACAGTGACGTCATTAGATTCTTCTGGATAATAAACAATTATGATAAATTAATGGAGGTATTTCTTTTAAATTTCCACACGAGACAGATGCGGCTAGCGTTTGAAGCTGCCAGATATTATTGTTTCTATATGTAGGAATCATAAGACGAAGATCATTAACCCTGTGGCTCAATAGTTAAAGGTCATCAAGGTCGGTCGTAGCGGTGCGCTTTCCGGTGGGCTTTCGTGGTGCAGAACGAGCGTCGAAGGCTAAGCCGCGAGAAGAGCTAGGTTGCTCGTCGAGTACCTTATTGACCAATGAAGGGACCTTGACCATAAATGATTGGGAAGATATTCTACCATAAATGATTTGTGCCATAGACAAACAATTTGCCGGCCTATGTTGGTTGATACAAAGGGCTCTTCTTAATTTTCTTCTTCATCCACTGAGGACAAAAATACTTGCTCATGACTGACTGAGTGTGCTATTTCACAAACCTTGGCTATAGGTTTTTAGCCTCAAGAACGTTACAAAACGGCTGACTGGCTGAGTTTAAATTTCCTTTTTTACAAAGCTTGCCTCTAGGTTTTAAGCCTAAAGTTGGGGGAGAGAACGTTTCAAAACGTCCCCATACAATGGCTACGAAGGAGACGTCAAGGTTTTCTTCTGAAATCTTTCCTGTTTCAGACCGAATCCAATTTGGTTTGAAGCTTGGACGAAATTTCGCTATTTCAATTGTGAAGTTCAGGTAAGAATTAACAAACAACATTAATCAACAAAAGGAGGAAACGATATTCAGTGATAGCGAAGCAATTATGACCGATCTATTACCAGCCGAAGTAAAAGGATGTTATCGATTTATTACTTTCACTGTTAGGCTTCATCGTCTCATCCAAAACAAAACCTTACACTCGGCCATCGATCATTCAAGTCTGCCCAATTCTGCTAGTGAATTTAAGGACCAAAAAAAGAAACCGAAATTACTGTCACAATTCATTAAAAGGAATATTTGGCTACTTCATTTTTGCTTTGGAATAAAAACGATGTTAGGCTATAATTTACAAGCTAGGTTATAATTTAGATAGAGTGAAAACCCAATGGACCATGGAAGAAATTTCAGTTTTAAACATCCTTCTTCATTATTATGGTCTTCGGTTACCGTCGTCAATAAATGTGCCGAAAAAATAATGTACATTTAGTCACAGCGAAAGTTGTTTACCAACCATGTCATCTACAGACGTTAACCATTGCGTGCTATTTATGTAATTTTAACGACAAATAATTAAACTTTGATTGCCAATAAATACTGACACATTGTAAACTTGACAAGAAAACCTTGCAGAGGAAAGAATGCTTTGTTACTGTATGAAATACAGATTACTGCAGAGAGTTCTACGCTGTGGTCATTGAAAATCGGGAAATCCCGAGAGAAGTCACGTGTTGAGAATGATGACGTCACTTTCTGTCCACTCGCTACAATATGAAACTTTGTTTTTCGCGAACTCAAATTCAAGTTAAGAGAAAATAAAAGTCTGATTAAACCTAAACGGAGGCCAATATTTAAGTTGATGCTTGACTGTCTACTTTCTTTCCCTCAGGTTCAATTGCAAATTAATATAAAGGAAAAACATTGCACTTCCTGGTTTTCCTAATGCGAAAAGAGACAGATACATATTCTTTAGGAAGTTTAGTCTATACTTAATTTGTGCTACGACGTTATCAAATTTACATAGTCTGTCTTTTGTTGTGATGTGGAGCTAAATGAAAAATTAAGATTTTGCCTGAAGTTAAATTAAAACAATTATATCTACGTCGTTATTTGCAAACAAGGCATTTCACTTCTGTAATACTCTGAAAACACAAAAAAACGCCGATGATTCTAGAATCTAAATCAGTGACGAGAAACCTTGCGACCGAAGTAAAAACACTTACACAAAAAAACTTACGGCGTGCTGGTCAAATACGAACTATCTAACTTTGGCTCAAGTATACATTAACAATGGTTAAATAAATGTAAGTGTGGGATTTCAAAAGCCATACGTTTTCACTACATGAGGCACCCTGTGGTGTGGTAAAGAAGCTGTCAGACAAAGAGTCCTTACCTCACGCAGTGTAAAGCCTTGGTCGTTGTTTTACGGTTTGAAGTCGAGACGCCCACACGAAACCCAGTGGTGACCGAGCTGCAGTGAACTACAGTTCAAACACAACAGCGGGAGAGGTTAATAAATGGTTTGTCACGACAAATTGATTGGTTTGAAGCTTCAAAGCGGCAGATGTCTTGGAAATTAATTGCACAAGCTACGAGCAAATAAGCGTTTTTAGCAAGGACGGTCTCACACATGAACTGAAGCTTAAAAAGCAAACATAACCTGCTTTTGTTCTTAATGCTTTCTACATAATAAGCGGAAAATTCCCATTTCCTTATTAAAGGTAACTGCGTTCTTGTTAAAGTCAACACCACTGCCCATTAAGGGAAAGACACTGTTTTTCTTCCGAGAGACGTTCGTGGTTTAATCAATAGATTTTCAGTTCTTGTTTCTCAAATGAATCACTTTGATAAACTGAAAATAAACATGTAAGAACCTTTAAGATTACTTGCTATTTATTTTTGCACCATAACTACCAACAACAAAACAGTTAGGAGGAAATCCTCAGTTTAATATCACGAACACTAGAAACCCGAAGGTCAGAATGAAAATTGAAAGTAAGCGACTCAATAATACTTCACTGAATTTTTAAAAGGCTGAGCATTATATAGCAAGGCAAGATAAAAAGAACAAACAACATATTTACCGTTAAGCCCTGAATTTTCTTTCATGGCGTTATGGCACATACGAATGAACCAGCCGCAGATACTGAACTTCTCTACGTTTGTTGTTACTTACATGGCGCCGTTGACTTACCTTAAGCCTGATGGAGGTTACGGGTTTTGTTAGTTGACCATAGAGAAACCATAGAATGAAAATAAAGCCAGCTTTCTTTGTTTCTTTGTTTCGTCTCCAAACTTTGAGGCGGTTTGACACTGGTTCACGACGTGATTTCTATCGTGAATGCTACTTCACTAAACGCTAAACGCGGTATTTATGTACTTTCCTGTGCGGGTTTGTGATAGCCTGCGGTGATTTATTGTTCTATGTAAATCCATTACAAACAATTTGACATTGCAATTTTCTTTCATTAAGAACCAAAAATGTGGGAGTGCCATTAAAAATGTTTCTGAGAAAGAAATCATTAAAATGCTTTTTTTAAGTAGCTTCGTTAAAGAATAAAAATGGATTTAACAATCACATTCTACGAGAATAACCCACTCTTAATGAGGAATTTCATCATCCTTTTATTAAAAGAATAGACGAGGTGACCAGCATTTAAATATTATAATTATCTGTAACGGTTTTTTTTTTTAAATTACGGTGCTTTTCATCAAAGCCATCACTCCTACTGTATACTGCCATATTTCTTTACGAGATGTGTAATCACGTCTCAATTTTGCCATAAGAAAAATGTTTTTCCGTACGTGCGTAGAATCAGGCGTTTGAGTGCGCAGGGCGTGGAGTTCGTTTTCCTCTGGCGCAGCCATTTATCCAAAGATAATAACGGCAGGTTTTCCCTGATCAAATCTTTACCAGGACTCTGCAAAGACTAACTGCATCACATTTTCTTGTAGTCCTCATAAAGGCTCCATTTTTCTGGTATATTTACGGTGAACGTTTGTAATGATAACTCACTTTATTCATGGTTAGCCCCGTCGTTCGCTCACACAGCCGTTTTAAAGTGCATTCGAGAAATTTTCCCAGACCTTTAATAGGTTTGGAAACATAAAGAAGCCGGACATTCTGTCGCGAGCACCCTTGATGATGCAACGACAAGTGAGATCTACTACCAGAAGTAAAGTAAATATTGTTTTGCGCAGGCGCTGATTGCCTACTTTAACTAACTCGAAACATCCCCTAACGATAACAATTAACACCAGCAAAATTGATGTGCAACCATAATCCTTAGCTTTCACCGTTTTCCTCGGTCACCCTTCACCGCAGTGCATGTAATGTCATCTACTCGTCCATTCTTATACTCGAACCATTCCCCCACCTTCCGGCTGTGGTAGTAAACCTTCGTGCAGATGGAGTTCACCGCCAGCACGTTTACCTTGGGTTCTGTTGGTGCCGGGTCCAGCCAAGAGGCGACGGAACGTATTCCACCAGTTTCACAACGCTCCTTGTTCAAAAAGTATCGGTAGTTATCTGCAAAAAGGAAACAGAAGCTAGATTACTCGAGCAAAAACCACATAGAATAGGTATGTAATAAAAAGAAACAAGGACAACACACACGAAGGAAAAGTTTATGTTAAGACAAATACCTGTTCCATTCATTCTGCCAAATTTCAGGCTTAACTTCTTTTTCAGCTTTTTCCAAGTGAATTCCAAGCCCGTCACTTTTATTTCGTCCTTAAAAACATAACCAGAAAAATGAAACAAATGAGATTTTCTTGTCTGAAACGACACTTGTTAGCTGTGTTAGATAGCTAGCATAGTTTTAGGAACCTACAAATGAAGAGCAGAATACCCAGTAGTTACAAAAACGTAAGCTGGCTTTGTACTGTCTAAGTTCAGTCAGATGCAAAAAAGAAATACCACTTGAGTTCTGCTTTACGCCACTTTCCCACCACTGACACCAATTGGGCCCGTTTCTCGAAAGCTAATGAAACGTTTCGGGCCCGCAAAACCATTTTAGTTAATCTGTATCTAAAAACAGAGTGGTCTATACATTTGAAGCTTCTTGTATGAAGGGAACCTCTGTACATATTAAGAAAATGTGATTAAAACAGCTCTGTAATAATAAGGCTTCAGATTTTGCTACGCTTTTCCGGATGCGAAAACTTTTCGGGCCGTTGGAGAGACGGGCCCTTAGCGCGAATTCTGCTTTGTATAAATCCAGTGATAACTTTGCTCCCTTCAACAGCGTTTATTTGAAAACCGTACAAGGTTAGATAAACAAACAAGTCTTACGTCTGATTGTGGAGGATAGAACTTGAAGGACAGATAATGGCCTTTTATACTGTTCGCCCTGCACTTTTGTTTGACGTATGGAGAATTTGGAGCTAACATCAGTCCACATACGACGCCCACTACTGCAAGGAAAATAGTTACAGCCAGTAACTTCTTCCACATTCCTAAAAATATGAAGAAAAACTTCAGTTAAATGCACCGTGTAATAAGAGTTGCAAATGGTTTAAAACTGGTTACTTTCTTAAAAGTGATCTTAACTCCGTTTAAATTCTGGATTTGTCAAAAAATGTTTGCCTTTGCTTAACTGACACCTGTGCCCCGTTTTTTTTTTTCTAGTACACAACAAAAAAATGTGTCGACTTCTCCTGCAGAGATTATATTGCCAGAATGCCAGCGCCTTTGCAGTAACCAAGCATGATCATCTGAAAGTCAGAACCAGTCAAGTGTGTGCTGACTAACCTTATAAGAGTCTAGTAAAAAATTATTCATGTCTATCGCATGAATAATTGTAGAAAATATTTCTTAAACGCCAGTCTCTTCTAGCGCATCTTGCAAAACTGAATCGTCGTGGAAATTTCACACTTTACAAACCTCTCCAGCCTCTCTGCATCCTGGTGATCCTAATACCAACCGTATCGATGCTGGACGTGAGATCGTCCTTCATTTCTTCAAGGCTGTGCCTAAGCTGTTCTAAAGCTCTCAGCTGCTCCTTAGCACCGATGCTCAGAATTAGAGACACGAGGCAGTCAACCTTGGACACACCAGGACCAGACGATTCGCCCATTGCGTAACCAATCAAGGTCTGTCTACGATTTCCTATATAACCAGTAAATAAAATGTAATTGCTAGGTTCTTAACTTAATCTGTATCGCGTGCTATTTTTCTGCAGATGAGGAGCGTTGGTTGCACCACTAACATCACTGAGCAAACTCTCAAACACGATCCTTTGGAAAGAAGGAAAGGGGGATGCCAATGCGAGATACTAACGTCTAACGAAGGAGCAAAAAGGTGAAGGCAAATTTACTAATAGACTCATTTTAAATCATCTATTATATAAACTCAGAAATTCGCAGAATAAAAAGGAAGTAAGCTCTATTTTCAGCTAAGAGAACAGCCACACCACAAATACAGCCCTGGCACCATGTAGCATACTCAGAGAAGTCGATGGTTTATCCAGATAAAACAAATGTTATACTTTAACAGTGAATCACTGGCAGACCTCTCTGTCTTGTGTAGCATAGTTACCTAGTTCGTGACTGGCTGTAGCCGTGCCGGGAAACTTATCACTGGGACAGGTGTAGATGAGCTCTCCAGTTCTCACTTTACCAATGACTTTAACCTGAATCTCTCCGATAATACACACAAGATCGGCGTCTAAACGACGAAAAGATGGACATAACCATGAGACAGTCTGGTCGCTTAAGAAAATACCAGCCACATCAAGCCAGGTAAATAAGGCTGATGTCAACCTTGCAACCCCTTCACTCTATAGCGACTACAATCACAATGAAGTTTATGGGCTGTCTAACTGAATTTCGTTTCAGCAAATTGCTCTATCTGCAACATACCAGGAACACACGAGTGACAATTTCTCCTCTTCAAGTTTAGGCAATAAATCATGAAAAAATGTTAAAATACAATTCAGAGTTCCTAAAGTTTAACAAGTCACTTGCTCACTCACTAGACTGTCAATGTAAAAGTTCGTCTCTCAGGCTAACAAGTGCTCACTTGCAGGTTCCCATAGAATAATGTCAGTGAAACTGATTCCAGACATAAAAGAGATCCAACTGTTGCGCCAAGCTAAGCTAAGGTATTTTTCTGTGACGGAGCAAATACACGCACTGAAGTTACGAAAGTCTGTAGCTCCAGTCGCAAAATTTTTCACACTTGTAAAGATCGTCTTGTGGAAAATGATAACCTGGACGCCGCTAGTTCTTAATTTTTGTGCGGTTTCGTCGTTACTACTTTATCTAAATTAGTTATCTGGTGTTTCTTGAGAGGGAACCTAAGCTTACAAGCCCCGTGGTTTTTATTAGTTTCCCTAACCATTTTGTTTTTCTATCCTTTAATATATAAATTGTAGTTTTGTATCTTCATTGTTATCTTGTATATTAATTTTTGTAATTTATTGTAATTGAATTCTGATTTTGTTCGTGTGGCAAATCAAGAAAATAAATTAAATAAACAAATAAACTACATGCAGAACAGGCCTTTGCCTTTCACGTACCATCATTTTCTCTGTCGGACCGTCCAGCCTTCCCCTTCAAGTATGCTGATCGACTTATCACTCCAGCTAGCCTAGCTTCGTGTGCATTGTCGCTCGTCAATAAATCGATCACAGTTTCTCCTGTTGGACTCTCAAAGAAGCCCACTACATCTCCCTCCTCGAATAGACTTTCATTACCTGGGTACTTCCGTTTGATGTAGTAAGCGATGTCGTGATTCGTGGTCTTTATCTGCTCCACTTCCAGTGTTTTAATTCTGGCAAACTCCGCTTCGAGATGTTGGCAGATAAATCTTGAATACCGAGCATCTAAGAGGATGAAAAAATGCCTCTACAATCAGTTTTGTTTTGTTTCCCGCCCGAAAAAACATTCTAAGTGTAGATGTCACATTGAGCTTCTGCTTCTCTGAAAAATCAAATTTGGACGCGTCTTACCGGAGGTTGAGGGGGCTTGTGGTGGTGGAGACACGACAGGCATCGAGTTGGTAGCTACTGAAATATGAAAGGGAGGTAAAAGACAACATTTCAATATAAAAAAAAAAACTTAACTAGGAGGCAATCGTTTAAAACCAGCATGGTATAAGCGTTCTCTACAGGTATGTCAGCAATAAAACACCCAGAGAGCGACATGCAAGTTTGTCAGCCATTTAACTGGAAAGTTAGCGCTTCGCGCTCGCGTAAATTGGCAAAAAGAATAAAAAACTATTGCTCTCTGCTAAGAGAGTATTACGTAATCACAGGGCTCTTGACGTCAAAATCAAAATGATCGACGTAAGGCAACCTTATTTCCAGTGTACGTCTAACCTTCTCAGATTTTCTCGTAGCCACCTATATAGACGTTCTTTAGGGCTCGTCACGCAATCTCATAGGAGGAGTGCGTGACGAGCCGTAAGAACGTCTCGGTAGGAGGCTCTTTTTCCCGAAGATTGTAGAAGACGCGAGGAAAACAAAAACCGCCGGAAATCAAACGAGCACGAACGCAAGGATATCTGGCTTTATCTTGCATTTTGATCCTTTTTAAAACATGTTTGATTTAGTTTTACGCAGTGAGGGCGGCGGTGGCAAGGGGAGGGGACTAAAAAGTGATCTTTTTTTGTCTAAAGAACTACCACTTTCAAATCAGGCATTTTCTCGCCCGCTCCGCGGTTTCTCTTGCGCTCCACGTTTCGCCCGCTAGTTGACAACCAAGAGAAATAAAACGACTATGGGCAGACTATTGGGTAACCTGATGGAGAAAACCAAGCATACTCCATTGTAGAAACTCAATTACAACGACTATCAAGGTGTTCTCATCGTCTACCTACGTTTTACAGTCTTGGCGCTCTTGAGGACAAACTCATATGGATAAAGAACCGCAGTAGTTCCATCGATAAACTGAAGACAAACTTTGAGCTGGAATCGGTTATACTCCAAGCCTTTTGTCTTCTCTAGTTTGTAAACCTCCTTACTATCCGATGTCTTGTAGACAGAATCGAGGTCAAATTTGCAAATATACGTTGGAATGGTGCCTAAAAGTGCAAGTTGTATTAAGTGTAAAAATCATTTTATTTAAGTTTTAGAGTACCAAGCACTGCTGGGATGATTGAGGTCACTAGAAATAAACGAAGTTATATTTCAGAAGAGTAAAAACTTGTTACCAATCTCAACTGGTGCCGGGGAGGCTGTCCTGTTCTGTTGGGGAGTGCGGGGTGAGGGGGGGGGAAGTCTCCTATAAAAATGACGGGAGCGTTCGTCGTATCTTTTTGTCTAATTTGTCAATTGGCACCTCTTAGAGGGCTTAAATATAAAATGACGACCGTTAAAGTTATTTCGGGCTCCTTTTAGGTACCAAACAACATTCTGGGAGCTTGAAGGGGGTGGTTTCAAAATTGCCAACGAGCCCCACCGTCAGCTATGTAGGGGAGTTCCATCCCTCGCCTAGGGGAGTTGAGTAGTTGAACTTGCAAACCACGAGATCAAATCCAGCTAGTGAATAACCCCGTTCCCAGATCTCTGGTAAGCTTTGCCTACAAGAGATCTAGGGACGAGTTTCGCCTGTGTTTGAACCAGGGACCTCCACATTCCAATCTAGCCTCCCGAAATACTCGGCCATGCTGTCTCCACAAAAAATAAAACACAAACACCATGCTAGGCTCTTAGCCCGGCTACATGTGGAGTAAAACATCACAACCAAACGGTTAAGTGCACGCACCAGCTAATTGAGTGATGTCCAGCTTAGTAATTCTCGTTGGTCCCACTCCGTATGAATTTGGATCTTTCGCCATAAGCTTCTTCTCCGCCTCGAATTCACGCATGACGTACACATGCAGTTCTTGTAATGCAAGCTTAGTCTCTATTTGCATGTCAACCTAAACAGAAACAAACAGCAACTGAGATCGACGATCGCGACCGAGTGGAAGTTTGGGAGAAGGAAAAATGCTGTGGGAACACCAACTGAGGGCGAGTGTTTCCACAGCTTTTTATTGTTACCCCAAGACTTTTGCAATCGTTACTAAACTCGATAGAAAGACGGATAAAATGTTATCTTTTTCTTTTAGAAAATACTGCGAGAAAAGAAAGGAAAACCACTTGCTATGTCAACAGCTCGTGTTAGCTTTGTGTTTTTCTCGCGTTATAAAAGTACGGCTTTTAGCGCGCGGTTTCTTACAGCGTGTTTTCTAAAAGGCATTTTTGTATGTGAGACTAGTGTTCGTCCATTCAATTAAAAACTATTATTATAGCCAAGAATTTTATGTGGTATTAGTTATCACTAGTTCAAAACTTCTATCAAAAGTTAAATTTGGTAGATTTTTAAAGGAACTTTAGTCTGTCGTTCATTCTGTTTGTTGGATTGCTTCAGGTTGTGAATGGGTCGCGATCGATTGTAAAGTACACGTAGTTGTGGAAATTTATCGGAGTACAATTTGATGTTTCAGTTCTGAGTAGGTGAACATGTGAAAAACTCCAGTTTTATCTCAGAATGTTCTAACTTTGGACTGAATTCAGAGCAATTGAGGTTCTCGTTAGATATTGCTACGAAGTAACATGCCGAAGTTGCAACCTCGTTCCCAGGGTCTCTCATCTTCGCGCACCCTGGAGCGAGAGAGGTGGGCGGGAGATGAGAGAACCTGGGAACGGGGTTGCCGTAACTGTTAGGTTCATACGATAATATAACGAAAACGGGATTGATTTTTCCGACTCTCGCGCACTTAACGCATACCTGTCCGTTTTGAATTCTTTGTTCTGAATATTTCCCTCTGGGTCCGTGCTTTTTTTGTATCTTGTCATACTCTAATCTCGGATTAAGGATCATGATGCTCGCTTCACTGCGATGAGCAGAGGTCAACTGAGGCCTTCTGGTTGGGCGTCTCGTATGTTCAGCTCCACCAACAGGTAAACTGGCGCTCAACGAGTAATTTCCATTAGGTGTGTCAGATGATTGATATCGGCAAGGCACGAGCATGGCTGCACTCGAGAGCTGCTCTGGACTTGAAACGTTCATCGGCGCATAGTTGGGGATACCCTCTAGGAGCACGCCAGAAGTTGTAACATTTTGGACAGTACAAGGAGACGGCGTGTTCACGCTTCTGACGCTCTCAGGAGGGGTGGGGCAAACGAAGAGAGGATTGTAGCCCGTTGCAATCTCAGACTCCTCGAATGTAATGTTTTCAAAAATGTTGGGCGAAAAATTTGAATTCATGGTCTGATCTGAAATCGAAACAAACACAAAAAAATAATGGTAAATAGTTAGCACAGAATTGTATCATCGATCTTACAAGCTTTTCCACGACAGCAACTTCCCTGTATTACTCTATCAATCAAACATTTGTTTTTGCTATTCTAAAGGAGAAATAGGTCAGGGTACTATTTTTGGCGATTTTTGCCGTGTTTCTTTCATCAAGACTTCAATTAACTAGTTTGAAATTGCAGCTTCGATCAGCGCTGGACAGGTATTCACTTATTTCCGGTTATTCGCATTCCAGCTTGACTTCCCTAGCTTGGTTTCATTTTTTTCCTCTGGTGTTCTAAACTACTTAAACATTTCATATGGCAAGTTAATAGCATGACCAAGATGAATCCCCTTTCAAAGCTCGCTATCTGTTTAAGCCACTGCAACACATTCCCGAGACAAGCCTTCTTTTCTATACCTGTATTGATGAAAAGTGAAGGTAATAACATAGCCGTCTCTGTCAAAACAGTGATTATGTAACTAGTGCCGAATAGCACGTACTTACGTAATCATATGGCTATCTTATCAAAGGCGGAACTCGTGCACTAGCGCGGAACTTTAGAGCGGTGTTCACTTGAGCATCGTAAAACCAAACCCAATGTTATCCCTGGCCAATCACAAAGGCACAGACAATTCATTGAACCAATCAAAGCATGAGCGTGCGGCTCACGACTGGTTTTCGTTTTTACTTGTGATTGGCTGAGAAAGTAGCGGCAGATCTTTAAACTAATCACGTTATGTAGTAAATCAAAACCAAAGAAAACTTGAATTACTTTCGATACTCAAGTGAGAACAGCTGTAACACAAGTCTTAAGACTCTTTCGAGCTGTTTGACGTTGACTCTCGAAACTACCTGTTTATGTTTCCTTTGCGATGTGTTTCACTATATCAGTCAAGTTCATAAACGGAGCTAAAGCTTCAAGTCTCTCAAGGATATTTTGCAGTTCATTCTCGAACTCACCCAAGCCATTTGAAACAAATTCAATCAAATTACATCGCGCCACTTGTTTACGCTTTGAATAAACCCAATTTCCGGCTGACACTGAATTGGCTTTTGTAACTAATGAAAATGCTCGGTTCTAGGTAAAGAGCTTTTTCTCATGAGTGTCAACGATCAAGATTAAATCATAACTGACCAACTTCAACAAACTCAGTTGACGTGATGCACCAATCAGAACACCGGCCGAGAAAATGTAACCGGCACCAAGGGCGGGAAAAGGCGTGAAAGCTGCGTCATGACTGGTTTTGGTTTGATTCCTGATTGGTTTAGAAGCTAGTGGTTAATTGTCATTTAGTTTTCTGGTTTGATAAGAACATGTGACCAGGATGTTCTTCCTAACCAATCAGTGATCTCATTAAAAGAAGAAACGAAAACAATCTCAAATGACATTCCGTAGGCAACTGAAAATGGGTTGCCTTAATCAAAGCGCGCGCACAGTGAGGACAAACGAAACGAAAAAAGAAGCTCACTGTTTTTTATAAGTCTTAAATCAGGGCCAACAACTTCTTGCTGTTCCTTACTCAATATTTCAATACGTTACTAATCAAACGAGTGTTTAATAATTGGTCCGGCCACGGGCGTTTTCCCGCCCTTGATGCACTCATCAACTAGACGGGGTACTGCCGTAATGTGCCAGAATTAACATTCAACGAAATAACGCAAAATTTCAAAACACAAACCCTGGGCTACTTTTTGCTTAAAGGTCTTTCTTAGCGGGGATGGATGATAGCCTGGCAGACGAGAGGGAGGGGGCGAGGCTCCTCACCCAGGGTGGCCATAGCGATCAACCAAATGAATATCAAATATATCAAAACATCCTGCAGTGATGTCGAATGCAAAAAAGCTGTAAAGCAGGGGCCCATAATTAGAGAAAAACTGTCAAGAGCTAACTCCAAATGTATATGACCATGGGCTCTTTATTGGGGGAGGATGGCTTATTATCGGGTGCTTTGCGCTAGAAATTTTGGAGGGGGCTTATTTCTAGGGACAGGGTTTGATTTCAGAAGTTTACATCGATTTACAGAGAGGATTCTTGGTTAAGACTGAACCACTGAATGAACCACAGAAAGCATTCGTATTGATAAAGTCTCCGTGGTTTAAGCCCGGGGGGGTTACTCCTAAAAACGTTGGGTAGGTGTGTGTGGCCCACTTCCCAAAACCCTTACCCAATTTATGATCAAAATCTGCGAGTTTTGCTACCCTAATCATGGCCTGGCCAAAAATTCGATAATCTATTTATGACCTTTGTAGCTGGCACAGTTGCCCTAAACATAAGTTATGAAGGGCTTTTGTCGACGGTCTTATCGATAATGATGAAAAAGTAGCTTCTTCTAAGAAACATACCCAATTCAAGACTAGAGTGCTAAAGCCATACCCTGTTTAAGACCAAAATGGCCAAAATCGATACCCTATTTATGACCGAAACGGCTGAAAAACCCTACCCTTTGGGGCCGCACATACCTATATAGCCCATATAAGGGAGTACCCTCCTCCCCCTCCGCGAGTTTAAGTTGGTTGATTGAAAAAAGAAGATCAAGGAACATGGAGCCACAATCCTTGTTCGGTGTTTCCGTAAAAAATTACGGCTACTAAAAATTGGCTACCGTGTTGTGGCCACAGCCGGAAAGCAGGATTCGAGCACGTTCCTCCGGAACCTGCGATAAAGGAAACTCAATATCATGGTTAAATGAGCTTCGGAAGATTGTGGCACGTACCTGCCGCAACACTCTCCATCAGTTCTTTGACTATGCATTCTGCGTCCGGCGAAGACGGCAAGGGACTATAGGCTCGGCTGCGTGGGTTAGCCATGCTGCCTTACACTGTTAGTAAAATGATGAAGGAAAAAAAGTAGCGGAAATAAAGACCCATGTGAATAAATTGCTGGTAATAATTTTGGATAAATAAAAAAAAAATCAATGCAGCTTCCTGCAGATGCTTTTACAGGAAAAACTTTCAAAAGCAGAGGGTCTTCAGAAAAGGAAGCACTGATCACCGACAAGTAATGAATATTTATGGTGTTTACTGCTCGCCAGGGGTTAAAAATTTAGTTTTAAGTTCAGCTGCAGCTTGCTTATTGCTCTTTTCAAGGCATGGACCATTAGATTTTTGATGGAGGAGGGAAGTTGGCGTGAATTTTAGCTGCTTGACGCTTTTTCCTCTTTCCAGCCCCACAAAAAAAATTTTCTTGCCAGATCAATACTACTTTTATTTTATAATCTGAAGTCCTTACTCGGCGATATTTTATTCGTTTTATATAGTCTTTTCTTTTTTATTTCAAGAGCGTTCTAGATCGATCATCAACTGAGCGTACAAACTAATTTCATAGTTATCAAAACCATTTTCTCTCGCTTAAGCCCGCAAGCAAGCTCTCATGGGCTGCGACACGAGGCTAGTTTTGGATTGACGAATCTCACTATGTCGTAACCCAGGGCTAGCAAAGGACCCTCGACCCAGCAAAAACAGCTGGAATGACACTAAACTTAAGCTGGAATAACACTAAACTTAAGTTAAAGGAAGAAATTTAATTTCTGAGAGTCGGACCACGCAGTAAAACCTTTAAGTGGGCATAAAGATTATTTCACTTCCGGTCTTCCGCTGGCATTCACTTCAATTTAAATACTTTACTGTGTTTAAAACTTATGATAATAATAGCTCAAGATTCTACGTAATTGGCTCACTAGCAACTCGTTATTCCAGGGTTTTCTCTCTCCAATGTTTCAGTTTAGTTGCAGATATTGTCTCAGAATCATTCAGCATCATTCAGAAACGCTCACAACCTCTTTGTAGAAATCGAAACTTCAAAAGGAAGTACAGGTAGCGAAATTGCACGCGAATCGTATCTGTTACAACTGCACGAACGCAAACTTAACTCAGTATTCGACTTAACTTACCTTCTTGAGGTATTTTCCCTCGTTCTTTCCAAGCCCAAGTTTAGTCTGTCTTCCTTAGCACGAATGACTACCGAAACCTGACATTTTCTTTCCTTTGTGGGAACTTAACCAAGTATGACGTGATTAAAATCCCCAATACTGTCAAACAATAATTTTCGGTTTCGAACCATTCATGTATTTATTCTGGACGAGCGACAAACTACTCTTACACAGTTTTACTCAGCATTTTCCTTTGTTGAAATAAATTTTGGAAAAATAAAGCATATTTGTGTTTCTGAGATTGAAAATAGACAAAGGCAATGCAACAAGTGAGACAAACAAAATTTTGGTGCTGGGGATGCAAGTCAAATAGTCGATATCTCGAAAGGTTTTCTCAGCATCCTGAACCAATACTGCTTTTGACGTAAGGTACAATTAACTTCCTGTTCATTAAAAGTCGAAAACTGAAAGGATTCGAAACCGCAGAACTGGAACATAATGAACAAACTGGCCTAATATGGAAATAGGGTTAAACAGTACAACCATTCATGACTACTGAAGATTTTAACCAATCGACCAACAAACATTTGGCAGTTTAATCCGAGTACAAGCCTGACATGAACTCGTGCTGCATTTAAATTTGCAAACTTTACTAATTACATAATTTTGCACGAGAGTTAAGAAGCGGAAACGCGTCCAGTATCGTCTACAAATCAACAGAAAAATAAATTGACAAAAAACAATTAAAACTGAAGGTTGATTAACTGATCACAAAGGATGACAGAACCTAAAACAGTCAAGAAAGTGGAAGGCGAGAGTCGGGTGTCTCCAAAAGTTTTAAACAGTTCGATATAAGCTCCTGCGAACGTGCACGTTTGTCGTGCTCTTTCGGTTTCTAAGAAGCTTGGCAAAAATTCAAAACATCTCTCACAAGCAATCAGAAGTTCAGTCCACTGATGACAGTCGATAACAGAAACACTACGCCGTTTAGAAACATAACATTCCGACATTTCACTGCTCGTAGAGAAGCCAGATTTCCGCGTTCAGTTTGGGCGATAAATGGTCCTTTATGAGCTATGTTTTCGGAATGCTAGTGGTTACAAAAATCCGCGAGGGACCGGACATTTTCCCGCCTAAATCTAGGATATAAATAATATTATGACAAACTTTACCCTTGACTTAGTCCCTATAGTCTCTTCCGTTCCTGTACTCGTGATACAGAGCCTTGAAGGTGAAACCCATGTAGGCACAAATATGAAGCATCACTAAAAAAATGTCCTTAAAAAAAACAGCTCATTAAATCACTATATTGTCGCCGGATCAACGGTCGACTTTTTGGTCAAAACAGTTCTAAAAAGGGATGACTGGATACCTTCGCTGTACACAGGGGCCACACTGGGTAAAGATTTGCCTTTTTTCACACTGGGAAAATGGGATTTTGGTCTCTGCAACTGAGGATCATAACTAAAATTTGGGACTGGGATTTGGGCAAAATGTGCCGGTTGAAAATGAAATTTACACGAGAAATTTTCAAGATTTTTGAGATGCTTTGTTTACATGGATGAAGGGAAAGATAAGGATGGAAGGCCTTAAAGAAATTATTTTTCATTATTATTATTATTTTTCGTGTCTGGGTGTGGCTTTGTTTGTCCCCCCTCTTTCCTTTTTTTCCTTTTTCTTCACTCCACTACAAAACCACTCACCGAAAATGCCCCCCTTAAATGTGCCCTGGGTACCACAGGCTTGTAATTAATGCAGTTCAAACATGATTTATTGTCTGCGGGTTAGTTTTGAGATGGTCAGATGTTTATCAGGAAGGAAAAAGACAGAAAGCTGGGCAATAGAGGAGAAAAAAGGTGGCAAATGAAGATTGGGTGAAAATAAAAATTTGCTTTACAAGGGGTATTATTTGCTGTACAGAAACCACTGTTAGATGTTGCGTTTTCGCGTGTGTCTTGGGCAATTTTTTCTTCTTTCATCTATTTTCCCTCCCTTAACTTCCATCCCATTTTATACAAATTAACCAATTATATCCCCTCAAAGCTTTTCATCTACCATTTATATCTCCTTGGCATCATTTGATTTTACAGCTTTTTGTAAGATGAACAGGTTTTTCATAGCACCTGCCTACTTTAGCTTTTTATTAAAGAGCAAGAGGAGCTACGCATATAATCACTGATAAGGTTCAACATGATTCATCTCAACTCAGTCCCCTGGCGACACACAGACAGCAAACAGTGGACATAGTAATACATAGATTCTGCCTGATGACCCATAGTGAAGTTAGCTATGGCAGTCAATAGCAGTTTTGAGCTATCCCAATTTTCCCCAGTTCCACATAACAGGAAAAACAAACTGACACAGTGCAATGAAAAAATATATTGAAATTATGATGCATGCAATGAGGTCAGACATTTACCCAACATCATTGGACACTCACTCATTCCACAATGTAATTTGTTTTGGAACAGAGTGGATGCTTGAAATAGCTGCTGCATAAAAACTACAGTGTTGAGTGATTAATCAGTCTGGATTTATTAAAATTACTTGGATTTGGAAATAATAACTTATTTATTAGAATTAAATTTATATAATGACCATTAAGGAATGTTGATTGGAAATAAAAATGGCATCAAAGAGTTTTATAGTCTCTTATTAAACCCAAGGATGTTTGACATCCATAGGCTTGAATAGGTTAAATGGCTTGCAACTTGAAAATCGCAAGCGAACTGTATAATACTGTTATTTCATTTTGCATTCAAATAGTTAGCTTCAAATGCTCATGCTATCTTTCATGGGAGTCTTCAGTACTAGCAGACTTCTCCAAGAAATGCTTGTTTAGTCCCCGCCGGTTGCGTGCAATCTCGACTGCATAAAATTGGATCCTCGTAACTGTAAACAGACACGCAAGTAAGGTTAAAGGGGTTAGGACAGCGCTTGCATATTGAAATAATAGTTGCAAAAGATAGGCCTTGCACACTTCACCAGAATAGATAGCCAAACAAATATTTTTTTTCCTGTGAAACTACACTTCAATTCTTTTTATGTTGCTAAGGGGAAAGTTGCTAAAATAGTGGGGTTACCTATACATGTGTTAAAATGGGAAGTAATCACAGCTATGGAAAACAGGTCTACAAAGTGTAGAATCAAGACAGAGATGGCATATAAATTTAAAAAAATAAATAAATAAAAATGGTTAAAACAAGTTAGGTTTAGATGTTAAAGCATGAATTTTTCAGGCTTCCTTTGAAGCTGTTTAAGATCTCTTTTAGTTTCATTCCTTGTGTGTATATGCCATCTGATATCACATGGCTAATGTCGCTTTGTCATTTAACAACCATGCCTTTCACTAAAATTCAAAATAAATTATACTTTTCTACATAAAGTATACAGGTCTACCAAGCCATCAAAGCTACTACTTGTCTGTGATTCCAGGCTAATTAGTTAGCCCCATTTGTATGTTGTCTTACCTAAGATGGTGTTTTCTGCATCATAACCCTTGCTGCAGTCAATTCTGAAGAGAACAATAACAACATAAAACCAATATTGTGGGCTGTAAGTTGTGAGTAGCTGAAAGTCGTGGAAGGGTGGAGTCAGAGATACGAGTTCCCACTTTACTTGGCCCAAGGCAAGGCTCAGTTTATCACATTTCTTGACTTGTCACAGACTTTGAACAAAAAATGTTTGCTGACTTGTATCCTTCGCTGTTTTACGAACAATGATTCAACTGAGAGAAAACTTAACCTGAATTTAAGCTGTTTCCTTGAGTTGCACTCTCTCAAGAGAATTTCAGAATTTGAACTTATGCAATAGAACAATTCAGAAAATATCAAATAGATATGCTACTCTGTGCTGGAATATTTCACTCAAAATTACACATGATTATGCATATGTTTTACAATTTGACCAATCAAAGTCATTGCCTGGTTTTTGGACAGTTACATCAACAGAAGGTATACATGTAAGCAGCCCATTGTTTTAAAAATATCTTTCTTGGGAGTGTGTGATCACTGAAATTCAGGTTAAAAGAATACTAACATACCTCAAAAGAGTTCCAAAATTATAATCTTCTATCTTGCCTTCATACATGTTACAAAATGGTCGCCATTTCTGGATAGATAAGAAAAGGAAACATAGGCATAAATTTATCGTGTATTACCTTGAAGTTTTCTAATCAGACAACCATAATCAATGGTCAAAAAAAAAAAAAAAAATCAATGATCATTGTTAACTTGATCATTACACTTTCTAGTTCTTGGCTCCTGGCTGGATGACAGGATTTATGCAAACCTCCCCATTTTGGGGCTGTGACAATCGAGTCAAAATGTAAGTCAGTGTAATAACAAGCTTGAGTGATGTAATCCATTTTTCTAGGGACACATTACCTTACTTCATGAGATCACTTACATTACAACATCATCATGTAGTAAACAGGCTTACCACTTTGGCTTCTTCAGATTTGAAGTCCTCAGGTTTTATCACATCCACCTAGCAAAATTAACGTGGACAACATGTCACATCACAAAATGACAACCAGCCCTACTCCTAACTACTTGTGATAGATTCTAGATACAGGGAAATAACTTACAAGGGACATGATATCTCATAGTTAACACCAGACAATCCCACCACAGATGCAGTACATTACACAAACCAGTAAAATACAGTCATCCTTCTGATTGCTTGTATAATCCATATAATGGATGACATTTTCTCCCACTTCTACAATTATTAGCTATAGCAAAGATTTAACCAGCATGACAGCAGGGCATTTTCATCACACAGTTATACATTAATCAAAGGTCACAAAATTATGTAATACTGTACTGTTGGTTTATTTTCAACTACCATTTACAATAATTATTACTGTATTTATTGGTACTGAACATGATTTACCTTTAACATTTTGAAATAACGTTTAAACTGTCTGTATATGTCATCATCAAACCTGTAGAAAGAAACTGAATTAAGAAAAATATTCTACATGCATGCGCAGTGTAACAAAAACTATTACTCAAGATACATGTACAATAATTTCTTATCAAGGCTTTTTTGAGGTTGCTACAACACTGGGTACTCTAAACTTTATCTCATATATATAGATTACTTCATAGAAAGTGCGACGTACAGATTTTTATTCACGAGTTGCAAAACTTTGGAAAATGAATGAGTGAGCGCAGCGAACAAGTGAGTTTTCCAAAGTTTTTCAACGAGTGAATAAAAATCTGTACAAAGCACTTTCTATGTTGTAATTTGTTTATTGTATATATACCGAGAATTAAACATATCCGTTAAATCAGTTTTAGTTTTTCCGATAACATAAGTTTTCATGCAGAACAACAACAAATTCAAAACTAATCGCAATGATCGAGCCTAATAAAAAACAAATCTGCTTTCCAGTCCAGCAACAGGCGGACAAAGAGCCTACACAAGCTTAAAATTTAATACGGGAGAATTCCTAAATACATGGAGTGAAATCTTTTTGCTTGTCCCTAAACACCCTCAGATTTAATCATGTAATGGCGGCGCTTCACGCTGTGCAAAGACAAATTCGGACTCTTTGACTCACACTGTTTAAATTTGAATGTTCCTCCTTGAATGTTGTTGGCTTTCGGATGTTAAATTTACTTCCTCGGTTTCTTAAATGGCCATTGATTCTCAAACTGAAGTTCTAGCGCTCAAGATGTTGGATATTTTCTGCTGCTGTTTTTCCAAAAGTGAACTAAAATGGGAATTCGAAGCGATGTTCTCGAAACACAAACTTCAAGCGGGCGCTGATTTCAAGACCGCGCTTCTCGGAAGCCATTTGATTGCTTAGCTCTGATTGGCTAAGTGATTCAATCTGAACAGTGATTGGTTCTATTTTCACATGGGAAGAATGCTATACGCGAAGCTGATTGGACGTGTCGCTTTTTTCACATGTGGAAATATAGCACATATAGAATTCTATTTGCAAGGTTTATTGCCTAAAATTCTCGCTATATGTACAATAAATAACTTAAGTTTCATTGCTACTACTTATACTGTATATGATAAAACAATATTATTGAACTCAGTTACAGTGTGTCACAAAATATAGCAATTTGTCAGTGTCTCATACATACATACATACATACATACATACATACATACACTTTATTTCAACTCAAATTATCAGGGTAGCTCTATTGAGCTAATATCTTCGAGAAAGAATAAAATTAAAAAAATAAAAATACACAAATCAATTTAATTTTAAAATACAATAATTAAAACTACTACTAATACAATAATTATAACTACTACTAAAAGTTCATTTTCTTTATGACTGTCTTAAAGTCTTTAAATGATGTTATTGTTTTCATACGGTCTGGGAGCGAATTCCAAATTTTTGCAGCTTGATATCGGA